TATGTACCTAACCAGTTTTACTATGACCAGTGACACAGACTATCTGTCATGATCCTATCCTGACAAACAAGACTTTGTGTTCTGTTTATTCTGTTCCTTTAAAATCAAGTTCCTGCAAGGATTATGTTTTACCTTCATCATCCTCTGAACTAATTAAGAAGCTACAAAAGGCTACACCCAACTTACCACATGGCCTTTACAATGAAGTTGATGCTCATCCTGTAAGACTAGTCTCCTGTGTGACTTCTGTTCCCGTAATCCTACCTAAGAATCTACGCCTCTATCCTGCTTTATCTTGCCAACCAGCTTTATACCAAGTTGCTCCAAACCAGCCTAACCTACACGTCTATCCTGCTTTATCCTGCCAGCCAGCTTTGTACCAACTTGCTCCAAACCAGCCTAACCTACGTTTCTATCGTGCCAACCAGCTTTATACCAACCTGCTCCAAACTAGCCTAATCTACACTACAATACTGCCATCCTGATATTCACCAACCTGCATAACACCTATCTGGACATTGTTGTTAACTGCTATTGAAATGTGTTATTTTCCTTTATTATCAGTGCTCCCACCAAGTTCTGTTTTTCCTATTTTCCTGAAACCTTGTTGTTCTGTTCTGTTTTATTCTTTTACACTTGACCCTCTATATTCAACCTATACTTTTAACTATATCTTATTATCTTATTATCTTTCTACATCCTGTTTATAAGTTATATAGGGTATATTTCCTAAACGTTTGTTTCTCTTATTTTCCTTCTCCGTATTATTATTTCATTTATAAGATATCCTGTTGTTTTCTATTATGTCCGACCTCCCCAATAAAGACTCAAATATTAACTCTGGCCAATGTCTATTACATGACCTGCTCAAGATCATGACACTATCTATCTTCCACTCAAAGTTGGTGTAAGTCACAATGGCAGTATCTAGGCAAGGGCAACTTGTTCTTCTTTTTCCATTTGTCACTGCACAACACTACCAAATAAACAAGATTTTACTTCCGTTAACAAAAAGATCTGTCAAACTCTAAATCTGTGAATCAAACTTGGTGTAAGTGACACACGCTACCTCCCACACAGGCACAGCATAGCAAAACACACAATATCACTACTGATTTTTCTCCCTCAACAACTGTTGTAAAAGTGTCTGAAAAAAACCTGTTTGGAAATATATAGATTTTTCACTGCTTCTTCTTTTTTTCCTCTGTTGCTCACTTCTCACTTGATATATGAATACAATTAACATTTAGTGAAATTTATCTTTTCTTCCACCTCTTAATTGGACAAGAGATGTAGCCCACATCAGTGAGAAGACCTCTTGTCACTCCATCATGCAAAAGATTCTTATTGGCCTTCTCTTAAAAAAAATAAAAAAAATTCTTGTCATTCTGTCCCTCTTTTTATAGAGCCACGTGTTGAACCATATTTAGGCATATACTTGATATTTGCTTGATATTGTGTCATTATGGCGACCCCTATACAACACACACTATACCTTCCGTACACACACACACACTATACCACCTATACACACATGCTGAACTCCTATACACAGTCATGCACTATTTCCCCTTTAACACACACTATAGCCACTATACACAGACTATACTCCATATACCTAGATACTAAATCTCACTATACCCCCTAAACACACATACACATTATACCCCATACACAAACACTAGAGCCTCTATATATGCAAGCACACTATACCGTTATACAAAGACACTGCCATCATTATACACTACAATCATTATACACATTGCAAACCAGATACACACACTGCAGCTCCTACACAAACACACTACACAGACACTACAGCTCTTAGACACAGGCAATATCTACAGCCCTTCTATATGCACACAACACAAAGCCCATAGACATATATAGTACACCACAAGCAACCTCCATACATATGCAGCACCTACACATGCACAACACCAGAGACAAGTCGCCAGCAAACACCGCACAAGCATGTTATTAAACCAGGACAAACACAGGGCATTTTCTCCATCCAAGAACATTTTAGCAGGGCTATGTGCATGGCATGCCTTGGAGCAGCATAAAACTAACATTTTGGGTAAGCATGTTTGTGATTGGTGATGTCATAACCTGCCCTCTTTTTGGCCTTCCCCTCCTATTGGGCCTCTCTGCCTTTAAATGCCCCAGGCTGATTTTTTTGTCCCAGTCCAGTCCTGGTTACTCATAGACTTGGGTGTTAATTTTTGAATCAATTGGTTTTTGGCTGAAATTTGAATCTTTTATTCATTCTTCAGAATGGGAAGCTGAACGAACGAAGGAATGCACATCAAATTATAATTTTCCATGCGCCATTAGTTTATTTGTTCATTTGGATAATACATATGGCCTTTTGCATTACAGACCAAACTGTTCACTGTTCGTGTTCATTCGTTCGTCTCACTCCCATCATACCTGTAACTTACAGATATGATCGGAGTGAGACGCATGAATGAACGTGCACTTTACAAATGTACCATTTTTCATTTGGTTGATGCATTTAGTCTTTTGCAGTATAGATTGAGAAGGAACATGGGATGGGAGAGTCGAACAAACAAATGTGCACTGAATGAATACGCCATTTGTATATTCATTCATTTGGATGCCTTGGATTACAGAAAGAGGAGGCACATGGGAGTAAGCTGATTGTCATTTTTCCAATCATTTTACTCTTGTGATTCTGAAGGGGCATCTTTGATGGTGCATGCCTTATCCTGGACTTTAAAAAAAAAAAAATTAATAAAAGCAGATTTTTAAAGCAGTATAAAAGCAGGCAGGGAGTCCTTCTCCACCCCTCTGTGACGAATGCTTTGAATAACCTGGAAAAAATGGTGATGCTTGTGTGCCGTGCTTTCATTGAGACCCGGTGAGCCGGCCATTTCTGACAACAACTTGTGTACTTGTAGAGAGATTTGTTCTAAGACATTTATTTTTCATTTTTTGTGATTTCTGTGAGTTGTGCACTGCTGTGCTGCTGACTGAATCAGTTTGACAGAAAGTGCCTGGCACTGTCTGCCTTCCATGCTAGCTGTACTGCCTACAGCAACCAGGTCTTTCTAAATATTGTACTTTTCTAATTTATTTCAATAATTGTAATACCTTAGTTTAGCTTAAATTGATTTATATTTAGAGGAGGAAGAATCGTTCTTTAGCTAAGTGGGCCTGAGGGCTTCTGCCCTGGGATAGACTACTAAGGTAATTGGGTTAGGTAGAGAATTAATATAGTCTAGCACTTAGGTTCTTTTAATTTTAAACTAGACACGCCATAGTAGTCACTACTATGTTAAATAATACATATACATAACTGGCAAATCCCATTTGGATGAACTAGACATAATACATGCATAACTAAGAGCGAACTAAGCACAATAAATGTCAAATGTAACCGTTTCACTTCAAGATCAGAACCCACCAAGAAAGTTGTGTGTAGTACGCAGAATTGCCGACCATGTCATGGGTTGTCAATAGCATTGTTATTGAATGTTGAACAGCAAGTTACTGGCAAATGCAAACAGTGCAGTGAGCAGGAGATGCATCATAAAAGTCTAAAACAACAGATTATTTCTCTATCTGTAACTCTGTACCTTATTGGACAAAATGAACAGAGTAAGTTTTCTTACTCCTAGAAATGTAAAGGAGGGATAAAACAAACCGATTATTCACTCATATTTTCTTATCCATTTAAAACGCTAAGAAGTAGCAAAACATGTTATTTCACGCTCATCAAAAGTTGTAAAGGCATTACACATATCACCTTTTGAAGATGATTTTTTCCATGTTATTCAAAGCATCTGTTTATTATCAAATTCATCATTATAATTTTTTTATTAACCATCCACAAATTAAGCTAGGAAAAGGGTGGATGAGACTCATAACATAGTTTACATAAACTGTAGGAGTAGTAATCGCACAGCTTAAACGAGTTTACAATCTAAGTAGATTTCAATAAAATTACACAGATGGTATGGAACATACTAATCTAAATAAAACTAGATTGCCATGTGTATTAAGATTTTTGCCTGCATACTGTGCATAAATAAATGGATGACAAAATGAAGATGTGACAGAGTGAGTGCGATTAATAAAATATAGATAAATAAAATATAGATAGATAGTGTTTCATCCCTCCTCTAGACTGTACGCTCATTTGAGCAGGGTCCTCATCAACCTATTGTTCCTGTATCATTTTGTAATTGTCTAATTTATTGCTAAATGTCCCCCCCACTTTTTAATATTGTAAAGTGCTGTAGAATAAGTTAGTGCTCATGAATGTTAATTACATATATATTCATATGATATCATTATTCTTATTGGTATAGAAACATATTTATCTATAATAAAAAAAAATTGAAAAGAATAAGTTGGCTCTATATAAATGCTAATAGTAGTAATAATTAACATCCAGGAAAATTCTATATAAGGTTGCCAGTTGAAAGTATCTGGACTCCGAGCAAGGGCACCATTATCCCCATATACTCTTAAGGAAGTTTTGGTATGGTATAAGTGATGGGGTTGTATAGTCAAGGAGTAAATGAAAACAAAACGTGGAGACAAGATTTGAATGAATCTTGCACAAATATATTTGCTGACACATTTTGATTTCTTACAGCATCTACATATAGCAAAAACGACAAAAGAATGAACAATGTGACATCAAAAAGCCAGAAGGATTATGAAGAAGGCATAATGTGACTGTTGAGCTAACTTATCAGTGTTTTTAGAGATACTGTATCCAAATAAAGATTATAAGCAGGGGGCGGGGCCGGACCACCATGCTGCAAAGTTGCACAACAGAGCAGCCCTTAAAAACTGAAAAGATATCTACCTGACAACTGGAAGCTGTGGCCCAGTACAAGAAGGCATCCTGGCTCAGAAGAGAGACTTGCTGATCAGAGGGGTGCTCTCTGTCGTCCATGATGGGGATCACTGGGGCGGTGAGTGGGGTGGACGGCCGCTGCCCTGCTGTCCCGCCTAACAGCGCCATGCCAGATGTACGGAGCTGTGTGGAGCTGGCCCTGTTCCCCACCCTCTGGACCACTGGGGTTGATCCCGGTCCTCACCATGGGGCCCCAGGGTGTGCAATGACACCGGCATACCGAGCTGTGGCAATGTCGACCCGGGGCTCAGAGGTCACATCCAAAATGGCGGAGACCAAATGGCGAGCCACTACGACCAGAAGAGAGATCGACGCTCCCACCACACCGGCGGATTGCCAGCACAGGCCAAATAAATACCTGCAGATGCAACCCAGAATCCGGGTTCTGGTCCTGGAACGAGCCAGGCCACGGAGGAAGAACCGGAGATGTACTAAGCCAGCGCATACAGCACTGCAGAGATCAACGGAGGCTGACTCGGGAAAATCTACCACCAAGCCTACCCAAGAGCATGGCTCACAGAATAAGACAGCGCTCCGGCATTACAGCTATGCCTGCTATACCTACCTAACTGCCGCGAGAGGACCACGATGCTCGGGCCGAATGCTTGCAGCTGGGGTGCTGAAACTAAAGATCATCGAGGCCGTGAGGATCCATATCCTGCCCACAGTGGGCATCGGTTGAACCGCAGGCTAAACATTAGGGGACTGCCAGATAGGAAGCTTAGCATAATAAGCATATTGAAAAGTTTGCCTACTCAGAGATATTCTTACATTCATTCAGTAAGCATCTGCTACACTTCTATAACATAGTCAGTGGATAAGCTTATACAGCCTCTTACACACAAGCTATGACTTGCACCACACTACTGTCTAGTCCTATTAAATTTAACAAAGCGCACAGTTTATTCATGCCATACAATTGTCTTTATATGTTTATGAAAACTCTGGCGTCAGCTGTTGTGACATTGCTGGCGTAAATGTATCTTGTATAATCCATGCACGACAAAATAAAGAATTTAAATTTAAAAAAAAAATTATTAGCAAATATTTTTTATTTTTTATTATAGGATAAAAAAGTGAGCAAACTTCTTGCTAACAATGACTGTAGGTTGTTTTAAAACAATTGTCTGAAATTCTTTGCATAATTAATCTCGGTCCACAGGGGTGAAAAACAATATTTAAGGTAATGTATCGGTGCTGAGTTCATGCCAAGTATTGAGATTAATAAAGTGCAGTGTAGGATTAATACTGCATGTGCTTTGTTAATGTTGCTGGTGTGGGGAGGTTAATGCATCATGACTGAAAGGATTAATCATGCTATACTGACAATCATGCCATATTGCTGCAGCAATATAATATCTCCCCGGGTCGAGAATGAAAGCCCCAACAGTAATGTAGGGTTAATGCTGCAGCTGTGTTTGTCTAGTAGTGTATGCATGGCAATGTGTATCTGTGTGTCTGGCTAAATGGATCTGTCAGTGTCTGAGAGCACAAACCTGTGTGTGTCTGATGGATCTGTTTCTGCGTCTGGGAACAGCAGTGTGTGTGTAAAGCAGAAAAGTTTTGCAGGCCTCCATGGGCCAGTGGCCCTTCTGTCTTCAAATATATATAAATCTAGAGAGATTGTGACATCAAGTAGCCTGACGAGTCAGGATTCATCTAGAATAATATAAATTATCCTTCATCATTCTGCTGGTGAGTCCTATTTTAGACAGCTACTGAAGCATAGTTACACAGCACTGTCCTTCTATAATTAGGGGGTGTCATTAGATACTACAATTATGGTTTTATTGGTGAGCAAACTTGAATGTGACTAATTTGTGCACGTGCATTGTGACAGATAAGCTGCTTTTTTTCCGTGCGTGGTCTGCCTAGGAAGCAATATTACAGATCCGGCGTTTAATACATTTTAAATGGCTGTGTCTCCTATGCAAACCATTAGATAAGTACTGTAGCATGTTAAGAGAAGTAAATGAAGCAGAATTTTATTTATTATTTAATTTATTTATTTTTAGGTCTATACTTGACGGAATCTAGTTCTAAAAGGTTTAATAAGCATCCGGTGTTGCTCCTTCTGTAGGACTGTTGCAGCCTTTGTTCCTGTCAGTTCATCCTACAAATTATACAGAGACATGGACAGGTGGGGTAGGATGATACAGGACTCTAAAACAACACATCAGATGTTGATGTTCCAGTTTGTAATTGCCAGATGGTAGACTATATAAAAGCAGTTAACTTAACACTTATAAGAAACATGTATACTCTGCAATGCTCTTTCTAATTAAAACAAGCTTTCTTGTGGGGTTGTTAGAACATAAGGTTGGAATGCTCTATCTAATTTAAAACATAGTTTTTTGGTTTCGAATTGGTATAATATAAATTTGCTTCCAAGTCATACTTCTAATGCTGTGTGTGTTAGAGGAAGCATTCAATGAGAATATTCTGGCTTCGGAAAGCAAAACCACCTTCTGATTGGTTGTTTGATGTGTTAGGCAATCGAAAATAAAGCTGAAATTCCAACGATAGTCAGTGAACAGATTGTGCACATGTCGAAATTCATGACAGCAAGGATGAAGATGCTAAATGTACCTTTTTGTACTTATAAAACATATCCTTATCTGTCATGCAGAAAAAACGGTACCTGGTAATTTCGAGGTTTTTACTATGCCAAGGGATATCAATTATTTATTTGTGGTATATTCTATGGGATCTCTTCTTTGAGTAACCAAGTCTTGAAGACCAGCCACGAGTCCAATTACAGACTTCTCACTAAGCCATAATACAGCTCATTAACAAGTCTTTCAACGACGCTGTGAAAGTGCTTGTCTATGAGTTTAACTCCAAGATGCTAAACCACCAGGAGCAAATATATCTCAGCTCTCTGGTTGACAGCCAGGCTAGTATACCAGCATACATATATAAAAGTGTAAATTTGTAGTGAAACAAGGACACACTGAACAAACATAAAACACTTTAGCAAGCTGAACTGTTTTATGTGTTTTGAGTGTTCCGTTAAAGTAAAACACACATTTCATTATATAAAGATATCTGATCATCTGTTTTACATTACTGCTGCTTAGGTTTGAATTTGTATGATATATATATATATACATATATATATATACACAGAGAATAAAGAGAATGGGTCGAAACGTCGGCAATTTTTGATGCTATACCTATTGGAATAAACTACCTCCTTTTTTTCATTTATTAAGTCCTAAGAGTGCGTCTCTTTATTCTCTGTGTACATATTTTCAACGTGGGATTGCACCTAGGTTACATTGGATTATATACATGAAAGGGTGAGTGCCAAGAAACACATTTTTTGTATATATATATATATATATATGTTTTAGGCTATTGAAAAAAATGTGAGCACTTCGTAAAAACAAAATCAACCTTTGCCAGTTAAAAGAGGACAACAACAATAGTTGTTGCCCGTAACAATAGTTACATAGTAATATTCCTTCATAATTACAAAAAAATGTGCATGTGAGTCATTTGTGACTTACATTCAGATAAGCTGCAGCTAATAGTACTTGGTCTGTCTAGCAAGCAATGTTTCAGACAGCTTTAGAGTTTAATGGTTCAGTCTACGCACAATAAGCACTTTGCAGTACTGCAAAGTAGAGGGTCCCTTGATCCCTGAGCCTACTCTCATTGCTGAGACTGGCATATAGGAGCAGTGCTTTTAAAAACAATCTAGTCCAGCTTCGTCAGTTTTGTCCACATTGTGCATACAGCATGCCCACACTGCATGAACAACAGGGAATCTATCCTCCCAGGAAAGATAGCTGTGCTATGGATTACACATGTGAGGTACATGGCTTAGTTGACAGTAAAGCAGAGCCCGGCACTCAAAACAGTGAACCAAGCTGTTTATAAACAGACAGCAGCTGCAGTATGGTATTGAGCAGTTTCAATAATTCTGTGTGAAACTGTAGAGAGATCTACTAAGTAGTGCACCAAGGAACAAGTTACAGGTAAGCATTTTTAATACATATTTTTTTTTTTTAACTAAACTAAACTTTTACACATTTTAAATACTGCAGCTTCTATACAAAAATATTATCAATGTTTCCATATAACGCAGCCATTTAACCCAGCATGATGGCATGCAAGCCACGAGTCACAAATACCTCTGGCGCATTTCCATGCAGCACAGCAGATTCCATCACTGGCGACAGTGCAAACATTTGGCGTACATACTGTCGCCGGGTGCTGTGGAACCATAAAAATGCTACGCCTCGGAGTATGACAAGATTGTGCATCCTAAGCACCCATCTGTGCCGCCTTATGGTAGCCTCGGCCCTAGTCATGTGAGTAGCAAATCACAGCTCTCCTAGGGCATTTGTTCAGTGCCCTGCCATGGTTTCCATTTCAGGTTAATCCGAGAGCGTGTGATCTATTGTTTCCTCTGTGCAGTTGACTTTTGGCTTGTATTTTTACTATTTTGATTTCTATTTTCCTTGACCTTGGCTAGTCTCACTGTTTACCATCACTCTTTTTTTCTGACCTCGGCTTGACCTTGGTTATTCTTGTTTTTACATTGAATACAGCCATTGTAAGGTCTGGTAATACTTTTAGGGTTTTCTGTATTCTGTATTTGATTATATGGGTTCTTGCAAGTTGGTTATCTGTCAATCCTGACACATACCTGTACAACACTTCTACCTCAATGTGTGTCTGAAGAGTGCCTAATAGCAGTTAAGGAAGCTCAGTGAGTCAACTTGATGAAAGTGCTCAACAGTCTAGATGGGGTCAAAAGAAAATCAATTTGAAATAAGGCAAGCAGCCAATCATGATGGAGGTCCAAAGGTCAACTACACTCAGCTTACTGCCCAGGTTTATTGTGAAATGTAATAGGAATGTATTGGTGGTACCAGTTTTGAAGGTTTCATTGTTATCAGAGTGCATCTATAACATGAGCACTACACAATTGAAATTTGCAAAGAGAAAATATAAGGCAGGAAAGGGAGGTTCATAAATCACTTTTTTGGGGGGGTTAAAATTTAGAAAATAGAGGGATAGGAAAAACTTTTACGCTCCAGTCCTGTGCACATTTCTTCCATGGTGATTTGCTGATGCATTGCAATTTTCTGTGACAGAGAATTTAATAACATGTTTAGTAGAAAGGCATCATTTTTACCTGTATCTGTAAAATAATAATGAAAATGCTCACGTGGGATTCAAAAAGTCAGTCTACAGCGTAAAGGAATATAAGGAGTATGTCAGCAATAAATAGAATGTAACGTGGATTATTTCTTGTATAATGTTTGCATGTTCTTCAAATTCTATACAGTATTTACAGTGACCTATAGAAAATGTACAACTATGTCATGCAAAGGTATATGTAAATTTTCATCAAAAATATATATTCTTTTTGATTTGATTCTGACTGTCATGTGGATTTGACCATGTAACCGCAACTGTTTAGGAATTTCCAAAAAATCACAGGTACACACAATTACTATCCTTCTAGGTAAAATATAAGCAGGAAAATCCCTTTTTTAATTTCTCAAAAATAGCTAAGGGTGCATAGATGTGGCTACGACCTGCACACACATTGCATTGAAAAATACCTCTGTTACCGACATACAAGTTATCTGCAGAGTACATGGTTCTAAATTTCAGATCAGAGCAAATACATGACTCAAAATGAAGTGCAAATGCTCTCTGATC